CAATTTTGTTTTAACTTCATCTGTTAGTAATTTTTCTCTTGGTAGACGTGATGTTCCCTGGACAAACATCTTTGATGTAATACATTGAAATGTGTACACTATTGTGTAAACACTGGAGTAAAGCATTTGAAAAATAAAGAAAAATGTACTGCATTGCATATGTTCCTTGTCAATCATAAGAATTAAACAAGTATGTTGTTTATCTTTGTTTTAACTTCATCTGTTAGTAATTTTTCTCTTGGTAGACGTGATGTTCCCTGGACAAACATCTTTGATGTAATACATTGAAATGTGTACACTATTGTGTAAACACTGGAGTAAAGCATTTGAAAAATAAAGAAAAATGTACTGCATTGCATATGTTCCTTGTCAATCATAAGAATTAAACAAGTATGTTGTTTATCAGAAAAATTAAGAAGAAAAAATTACGCACTGCACTTTTATACTGTTAACAAATCAAGCCAGCCACAGACAGCTGCATCTTATCACACTGAATCAAAAAGTCAGTCTAACTTTTAGGCTTTTTGCTTTTAATTAAAAAGCGAGTCAATTAATTATGACAGAGAACCGTACTTAAGGCATACACCATGGTGAAACACTAAATACCTAGGATCTAACAATGGTGAGAGTATTCTATTTCTTTTCAAAATACTACCATGGTATTCAGAGGTTTCTCATTTTCTGAAGTCTTATATAAATAACAATTCTGCAGGGAATATGATCCCTAGTTACGCAGAGTTAGCTAATCCTGAATGAACCATTTGTTAAAAAATGTTTAGTCTAATGAAAACATAAAAGCAATTCTAAATAGTGACAGTTGTCCTTAAATCAACAGCATGTCTAGCCTATTGTTATGTTTTGTATGGCCTCTTAAATGGCTCACTAAGATGACCAGCTAATGCTGGTGCCATTCATTTTTAGAAATTCATTAGCTAAGTACATAAATAAGGTTAAAGGTGTTTTTCAATGAACACTTAAAGAATCTTCAGGTACAACTACAGAAAGGGCAATACCGCTTTTTGGTGAAACTATCATTTTAAAAATCAATGTGTCAATCAATTATAAATGTAGTGAAATTCTCAAATAAAACCAAAACAAAACCATTGCTTTGCACAGCAAGCAGTACATAGTTAAATTCCTCTAACAACATCTGGAAAACACTTTACTTCCCATTAGAGGTCACAATATGCTATCCATAAAAGTTTCAACCAGTGCTTCAACTGCTTCATTTGAATGGTCCTGTGATGGGCACAGCATCACCCTGTCCCACTCTGGATTGGAGGGGTTAAAACACCCTACCCTATGCTATGGGCTGAGAAAGCCATGATCCCTCACACCAGCTAGGCATGCTCCAACTGGAGCCAGAGTATAAGAGGGAGAGATTAGGTCAGTCTGGGCTGACCTCTGATGAGAGGTTGTTGCCTCTACTGAACCCCAGATGACCGCTGGGGCCAATGGAGATAAGACAGTGATTGCTGAGGGACTACCCCACCGGTATTAGAAGAAGGCGTAGGAGGTGGCTCACGGAATGGGAGAATAGTTATGGGTGACAGAGACTGAGCAGTAAAATGTTCCCTACCACCTTGGATTGGGACACAGTGGAGAAGGGTGGGCTTGGGTCCTCCTACCTCATCCAACATGCCATGGACACTGCAACATGTGAGGAGGTGAATTGGGCTGCTATGTATCATAGCATTAGGCTGCTAGACCTTACTGTCCTGAACTGCAGGGCAGCCTATTGACTCTGGGCATTAAACTATACTGCCTTGGAAAGAAGGGTGGCTACTTAGACTCTGACCATTAAGCCCTATGGTCCTGTAATCCAAGCTTGCCTTAGTTATTCAAGTCCTGGGGCTGAAGGTGTGTACCTGTCCTATGACAGGTCCAAGTCTATAGCATATAGACCTGCAAAATAAAGTTAGCAAAAAGTATCATGAACCCTTTCACTTATTCCTCCCAATTTGTTTTGTGCATTTTTGTGCCCTCAACATTTTGCCCATCCAGTCTGTATATCAGACTGTTACAAAGCATAGCATGGATCTACTTATTATTAGTTCCCTAAATAGAAGAACTAGAGGACACCAAATGAAATTAATGGGTAGCAGGTTTAAAACTAATAAAAGAAAGTTCTTCTTCACACAGTGTGTAGTCAACCTGTGGAACTCCTTGACAGAGGAGGCTGTGAAGGCTAGGACTATAATAGAGTTTAAAGAGAAGCTAGATAATTTCATGGAGGTTAGGTCCATAACAGGCTATTAGCCAGGGGATAAAATGGTGTCCCTGGCCTCTGTTTGTCAGAGGCTGGAGAGGGATGGCAGGAGACAAATCGCTTGATCATTGTCTTCGGTCCACCCTCTCTGGGGCACCTGGTGTTGGCCACTGTCGGCAGACAGGATACTGGGCTAGATGGACCTTTGGTCTGACCCAGTACGGCCGTTCTTATGTTCTTATGTTATGTTCTTATGTACTCATTTGCATGTAAATGCCAAGGTGGTATAATCTAGGTTAGAAGAAGCATGACATAGCATTTCATCTGTAAATTCTACAGCATATCAGTAGCAGCCTCAGCCTATGTGGACAACATGCATCTTACCTCCGGATTCAAAAGACGTGTGTCTAGGATCCGACTGCCTACATATTTAGGTTAAATATATATTTTAAAAATAAATGCCTTGACAGCAGCTTTCTGTGGTAATAAAACTATGATTCTAATGTTAATCCTGTATCTTCACATCTAATTGCTGCCATTTTACAATAAATATGCCTGAGATATTTGGGTTTTTTTTGAGGGGGGGAGAAAAGGCCCCTGCCAACCCAGGGGGAGGGCTGGGAGCAGAGAGACGACGGCCCCTGCTGACCCAGGGGAAGAAGGAAGTCTGGAGAAGGAGAGAGAGCCCCTGCCACCTGAGGGGAAAGAGACAGCCCTTGCCGACCAGGAAAAGTGGCCAGGGGGAGAGAGGAAGCCCATGACAGCCAGGGGAGATACTGGGGGGGAAAGAAGGTCACTGTCAGCCGTAGAGGGCACTGAGGGAGAGAAAAACCCTGAGCCCCTCCTTACCCCCAACCCTCACTTTCACACACCTCCAGCCTCCCCAAGGCCCTGCCCTAACTCCTGCACCACCCACACGGCCAGTCTCCTGCCCTGAAGGACCCGGGCAATGCCAGATAAGTCTTCTAGTATTTGATAAACAGAATGAAAAATAAAGTCTAAAGATGTAAACCTAAGACAAGCACTGACCTAAACTTATTACTTTGAGGTGAAAGGAAAGGCCAGTAGTGATAATGCAGAAAGGGACACATACAAACAGTGCACTGTGCATATGTGATGGGAAAATACATGTGAACAAATCAAACTGTTCCTGTTACTGTTTTAATGCTAAAAAAACCAGACAAATTTAAAATATAAAATTTACCTCAAGAGCCAAGTCTACACTAGAAACTTATACCAATGTAGTAATGCCACTTACGAGCAAAAGCACTAGTGCAGACAGCTCTTATGGTATGAGTGCTATATGTGATATAGATTATGATGTTCAGGGAACTGCTATGAGCTATACAAGCAGAGGCACATTTTTTGCCAATATAAATTGCATTTACACTTGGAGGATTAGCTGGTATAGTTAGACTAACAAATTCTTTTTAGTGCAGACTATCTAAAGAAAGAAGTGTAACTAAAACTTCACCTTTAAAAAAACAGAGGGCAAACTAAATGGTTTCTCCTAATGCCCCTCTTGGCCCCCTAGGTCCAGTCTCAGCCAGATAGCAAACCAGAACCAATACCAAGTGGCTCATGGCTAATCAGAACCATGATAGACACTAAAGTTCAAATATCCTCTGTAACATTTTGCAACCAACTTCACAGGGAAGTTTTTTTACATCATTTTCATCAATAGTTTTGTGCCTCTGTGCTTCATCTCTGAGTGAGCAGCATTTCAGGGGTGAATGAAGCACTTGCTCCGTGGTAAAAACATGTATAATACTTTAGGGTCCTATCAGTTTAAAAAATACTTACGTTTAGCAAATCCATCCCCCGGATAAATGTATCTATTGTACACATCCATAATATACACCCTACGATCATCCATGAAGTCTCTCTCATGGCCATTACCCTATAAGAAAATTGCAATCGATTAATCTTAGCAAGCAAACACAGAATTAAAGAATCTGTTAAGATTAAGGAAATTATAATACAATGATACACTGTTTAATGTTCCCGGTACTTTTTCCTGTCTAGATCTTTAAAGGTTATTGTGATGTTGCTAATAACAATATCTGCATCTCTATCCCAAGTGCTTTACAAATATTACTGAAATTAGCATTACAATACTCCTTTGCAGATACAGAGGTATTTTCATCCCCACTGTGCAGACAGGAAAACTAACGGACAATTTGCTCAGCGTCAGAATGGAAATTTTCACCTAAGCCAAGAACAGAAATCAGACCAAGTCCTGTGTTTTAAACAGACTATATTCCAGAAGTTTGTCAGCTACTGACAATATATAAAATGAGACCAGAGTTCTTCTGATAATCAGTGAAATGTTGAAAATATTAATTCACCTTCAAGAAAGCCTACAGGAGTAAAATATAAATAAGATGTAATACAAAACATATTACATTCTACCATTGTAAAGTCAGGAAAGGTAAAGGGAAAATTAGATTCTGATCATCATCTCTTTTTTCCACACTCTTGAATTCCAATATGATTTCAGTGACTGTCATCTGCACACCCATCAGACAGCATAAAACAATCTCTAATTAGTAGTTTATAAGATACAGTATGTTAACATTATATCAGATATGATATAAGGAATGAAAGCAAGATGGCAATCAGAATGATTTGATTTCAAACTATAAGGAGTAAATCCATGGAAATAATATTTTCTGTAATTTTGTTGTCCAATTTAATGTTAATTTAATAAAACACTCTGAACAGTTAGAAAGTTGCATCTCTGATATGGTTCCCAGTCCTGAGACATCCAAGAGAAAAAGAGGCATTACAAAGTTAAAACTGATGTGAAAGGAGGGAGGGGAGTACACAAATGCTCCACTGTATGCTTCTGAGCCACGGACATGGCTTGTTAGAGGTGGCTGAGCATGAACTCATACTCTATTACTTCATTACACTCAGGCCCCAAAGAAGAGGGTAGTACAAAGGGAACTAATGAGAATAAAGCTTTGGAGTGAGCAATGTTCCCAAGGCTGATGGACTCAGTGGGTGCCCTAAAAGCCACACAACTTTCTTATGACCTTGGCATATCCGCACTGTTAGAGAGCTCTTGTCTAGTCTTCCGCCTCACCTCCCCTTCCCCTAAAGAAAGGGAAGCATTATAGATAGGGGTGATTTAGCCTATAATCTACAGATCACTGGCACAACAGCTATAAGGTCGGAAATTTCTTGAGAAGCATTTTAATGAAGAGACTTGATACCCTTGAAAGATCCCATCAGAAATACAAAGTAACAACATTGAATTATCTGTGTCCTTGTTTCATAGCCAAGTTTAGCATACAGATAAGAGACATGATGGAAGATAACATCCTTCAAGATCATTTTTCATCATACCAATGAAACTGTCTCAAAAGTGGATTAACACCACATTAAAATATTGTATACATTTCTGATTAAAGGCCATTTTAGTACATTACCAGCTTTTCTAAAATAAATCACTTTTTATTGCTGAACAGTAAAAGTATTCAATCTACAATATGGATCGATCAGGTTTATACAACAAATCCACACAAAAAAATGGTGTAGCCCCTTATTAAGATTTTACTGAAAATCCTACCATCAGAAATGTGATCTGCTCTCAGTATAAATTGTAAATAATTCCTTCTTGGGGGGGAGGGGGGGGGAGTGTATATGAATGTATATATACTGTGCTCCATTAGGCTGAAGTCAGTCTTCCTGTTACACGCACTGAAGGTCAAACTCATCTCTTGTAAAAGCTGCTGCAATAATTTTGCATGCTGAACTAATTACAATTCTCTTTAAGAGCCTCTTGTTTCTTATGGGATGCTGAACAGTTCTCAAATATTGTTAGGCTGCACAACAGTATGGAAAAACAATAAGGAGTCCTGTGGCACCTTAGAGAACAGGTTTATTAGTTTTAGTTAGGTTTTACACACAAAAGCTTTTGCCCAAACAAACCCATCTCAGAGGGTATATCTAAACAGCAAAGTTATTTCGAAATAACAGCCATAATTTCAAAATAACTTTACTAGCATCTACACAGCCAAACCGCTATTTCAAAATTAATTAGAAATAGCGGAGCACTTATTTCGAATTTGGTAAACCTCATTCTATGAGGAATAATGCCAAATTCGAAATAGCTATTTTGACATATGTGCTGTGTAGACACTTATATCGAAATAGGGGGCCTCCAGCATTCCCAGGGTGCCCTGGTGGCAACTCCACCCTCAACCAAGAACACTCCTCTCCCTCCCCACTCCCTGGAGCCCTTAAAGGGGTTGACTCTGGCCACAGTGCCTGAGCAAGCTCCAAGCCTGCCAGCCCAGAGCCAGCAGTCACTGCCCCGACCCAGCGGCCCCAAAACATAAGCCAGCAAGCCACCGGCAGCCAGCCTTCCACTGCGCCCCAGGAGCAGTCTGCCAGCTACCAGGAGCCTGCTAGGGCCCAGAGCAGGGGGGTGCCCCCCAACACCCATGATCCCCGCACTAGATGGAGGAACGGGGCCGTCTATGGCAGGATAGCTGCCAGCCTGGCCACAAAAGGCCACATACGAACCCAGGAACAGGTCTGCATGAAAATCAAGTTGGTCCAGAGAGACCCCCAACCCTGAGCTTCTCCTCCCCCTTCTTCCCCTTGCTTCCCCCTTCCAGCTCCCTCCTCCCAGGTTTCCCCCATGATCCCCGCACTAGATGGAGGAACGGGGCCGTCTATGGCAGGATAGCTGCCAGCCTGGCCACAAAAGGCCACATACGAACCCAGGAACAGGTCTGCATGAAAATCAAGTTGGTCCAGAGAGACCCCCAACCCTGAGCTTCTCCTCCCCCTTCTTCCCCTTGCTTCCCCCTTCCAGCTCCCTCCTCCCAGGTTTCCCCTTCCCTTCTCCCACTCTCTCCTGCCTCCTTTCCCCAGTCACACCAGAGTTTCATTCTCGCCCCCCTCCCCCAGTTTTGTTAAATAAAGAGTTTGTGTTCATGAAAATACATGTATTTTATTTGACATTAGGAAGGGGGGTTAGCGAGGGGTAAGTGGAAGGACATGAGGGAGGAACGAGGCACAAGCCCCCAGTGGGGCAGACCAGGGAGGCTCTTAGTGCTCCTCAGGGTGGAAGCTCTCCTGCAGGGGCTACTGGATACTGACAGCCCCCCGATGGATCTCCCAGATGGCAGCCTGCAGAAAGTGCAGCCAGGCTCGGAGCATCGTGTCCAGGGGCAGCTCTGGCTCCATGTTGCAGAGTGCTGTGGTGTCCTGAGTGAGGGCAACCAGAGCATGCAGAGACAAAATGCTTTGCTGTCCCTCATCGAGGTAGGCAAGCAAGCAGGGAAACCTGAGAACCAGATGTTCTGGAGGGGACAGGGGTCCCTTTAAGCACAGACCTCAGATAGCCTCAGGCAGCAGCCACACAAAGTAACTCCTGACCCGATGCCCTGCCAGACCTGATTCCGGCCAGCCTTAAACGCGATTCAGCGTCCACTCAGTGTGGACATGCTATTTCGAAATAGCAAAAAGCTATTTCGAAATGCATTTCGTGTGTAGATGCATTATTTTGAAATAAGCAATTTCAAAATAAGATATTTCAAAATAATACTGTAGTGTAGACATACCCTAAGGTACTACAGGACTCGTTGTTTTTGCAGATACAGACCAACATGGCTACCCCCTCTGAGACTTTTCACCATATGTAAACCAGAAAATATTTTTACACTTTAGCCACATGATGGAGCTACAACTCAGCTTAAATTTGCAGCAATGAACATTTTCATTAAGGTTGCTTCACTGCCAGTCAAGGAATAAAATATAATCAAACAGCAGGGTTGTGCTGAGTAATTAATAATCAAACACAGTAACTGATGATCCTGTGATTTTCTATAACCAGTTATTCAGACTACTGTTGCCTTAATTTTTACTGACTAAATCTGTGAGAAGGAAGTAAATTAGTAGTAGTATATGATACTGCTTTACGAAGGTATCTGTCTAAAGTGTAAGTTAATTCTCTCTGGAGGATTACCCTGGCTGCTGATTGATAGAGTAGACAATGGGTCTGGTTTTCTCCCTCCATCCCCCTTTTTTTTTTTTTTTTTTGGCTTGTCAGAGATTGTGTGGGGGTGCTTACAAGTTCTCAGAATTTGGCTCCGTTTGCCTGTAAATGAAGGGAAGACTGCCATCATCCAATTTTTGTTCCTTGTTTTCATTCATTCAACATTTTTTGGGTGTGTGTGTAACAATTGCATTTAAAATGGCAAAAAGTATCTAACCGTTGAATGTTGATCATCAAAACCTCCTCAGGTGCATGCATACATGTGTATCCCTCTTCACTGCACAGATTAATGTACAGTTTGCTGATACGATGGTTTTAGTTTTCTGAACACTGAATACAAACATCTAAAGTGTCCTGCAGCAGAAAAGGTTTCAATACTGCCAATGGTAGGTATAAATCTTTGGCATAAACATTCTTTAAAGAGATATCTAAAATGAGGACCTCCTAAAGCCTCCTGGGTTTGCATTTACAGAATGCACTGAAACACTCTGGGTATAATTACATATTTACAGAAACAAACTTCACAATATGTTGATCATTGTACACCAACTATAGTCTCTTAAGATAAGCTAGACATTTATCCCTCGCAATCTAATCTTTCGCTCTAATTTTTATGTCCATGTGTGGAATGACTTTTGCTATGTGCACCAGTATGTATCACCTCCATATTGGAGCACATAACAAAAGTAATTCCACATATGGATAGTGTGTGGCAGGGTAGGGCCAAGGAAAGTGTTGGGGTGCAGAAGCGTGATGACTCTGGCTGAAGATACAGGCTCTGGGATGGGGCTGAGGATGAGGTGGGGGCTTGCAAGAGGGAATTCAGTATTCAAAGGGTTGGGGTGCAGGGTGAGGGGTCTGGCTGTGGGTGTGGGGCTAGGCATGAAGGGTGTGCAATGCCCACTGCACTGCAAAAGAGGACTCCCCTCAGCCCTCTCTCACCGCAGTAGCTCGGGGCCAGGTGAGAAACACCTCTCCACAGCCGCAGCAATGCCACTGGGCACAGCCAGGGGAAAAGCACCTATCCCCCAACTGGGGAAAGTCCAGGCTAGACTGGATGGGAGACAGGGGAGGGGCACCTCTGGAGGAGCTCTGCGTTAGGACTGATAGGGAGAGGTGCCTCTTCCCTGGCTGCAGCAGCTGGAGCTTGGAGTCAGTGGGGAGATGCACCCATCACCCAATTGTGGCAGCTTCAGGCATCTCTCCCTGCTGCAGCCCTGAGCCCCTGTGCAGGGCTGAATAGGGAGCGTGCAGGCTGAATAGGCAGTTATGCAGCTCAAAGGGAACTTAGCCTATAATCACTCGGGAAAACTTAAAAAAAGATCAGCCCTACTTTGTTCCCTAATGGTCAGATCATTCCTGTTGGACCGATGGGTGAAGTGACTCTTAGCTGAGTCTGAAAACATTCAAAAGTAAGTAGTGTTAGACAAAGGCATCAGAGCTAACTGAAGGTGTCAAGATTGGTGGTTTCCCAGGCATTTACAACCACGCTATATCAATCTAATGTCAGAGACAATATGGATGAGGTAATATCTTTTATTAGACCAACTTCCAATAAAAGATATTACCTCACTCACCTTGGGTGTGTCTAGACTGGCAAGTTTTTCCGCAAAATCAGCTGCTTTTGCGGAAAAACTTGCCAGCTGTCTACACTGGCCGCTTGAATTTCCGCAAGAAAACTGACTTCCTACTGTAAGAAATCAGTGCTTCTTGCGGAAATACTATGCTGCTCCCGTTCGGGCAAAAGCCCTCTTCCGCAATTCATTTGCGCAGGAGGGCCAGTGTAGACAGCACAGTACTGTTTTGCGCAAAAAAGCCCCGATTGCTAAAAAGGCGATCGGGGCTTTTTGGCGCAAAAGCGCGTCTAGACTGGCATGGATGCTTTTCCACAAAAAGTGCTTTTGCGGAAAAGCGTCCGTGCCAATCTAGATGCGCTTTTGCGCAAATGCTTTTAATGGAAAACTCTTCCGTTAAAAGCATTTGCGGAAAATCATGCCAGTCTAGACGTAGCCCTTATGTTTCTCAGATATTGGGACCAACAGGGCTACAATAATGCTGCTAACATTGAATTGATCAAATGTATACAGAGCTGCATAAGGAATTGACCTGATAGTCACTATAGTCATCTAAGATTAGATGTCCTATGTTCTTCTTGATAGCTCCACTTCGTAGCAATTGTTTGTAATCAGTCACCTGTAAAAAACTCTGGGGAGAGAGGCTGGCTTCACAGTCTTGCAAGTGCTGTCTACACACACATTTTTGGAGCAACACAAGTTTGAGTCTCTCAACCCAGGCTGGGAAGTTTGCTACAACAGGCTGCAGCCACATACCCTGAAATGTACTTCCAAAATATGTTAATAAGCAGGTTCAGTCCGAATACTAATGTTCAGTGCTTAGATATGTTACAATCTGTTAGAATAAAGCAGAATCCATGTGCTTCTTGTTTTTAAGTCTGAAACAACAAAACAAAACACAGGACTATGTAGCACTTTAAAGACTAACAAGATGGTTTATTAGGTGATGAGCTTTCGTGGGCCAGACCCACTTCCTCAGATCAAATAGTGGAAGAAAATAGTCGCAACCATATATACCAAAGGATACAATTAAAAAAATGAACACATATGAAAAGGACAAATCAAATTTCAGAACAGAAGGGGAATGGGGGGGAGGTAAATGTCTGTGAGCTAATGATATTAGAGGTGATAATTGGGGAAGCTATCTTTGTAATGGGTAAGATAATTAATGTCTTTGTTTAAACTGAGGTGTAAAGTGTTGAATTTAAGCATGAATGACAGTTCAGAGGATTCTCTTTCAAGTGTGGTCTGAAAAGGTCTTTGAAGCAGGATGCAGGTAATCAAGTCGTTGAGACAATGTCCTTTCTGGTTGAAATGGCAAGAAATTGATTTTTCTTTGTGATCCTATCTAATATCTGTTTTATGGGCATTGATCCTTTGGCAAAGTGTCTGAGACATTTGTCCAATGTACATACAAAATAAAGACTTCATCCATCCTGTGCAATCCTTAACCTAGTCTGCTTTTCTTTAGTTTACTGGAGAGAAAATTTATACTAGTGAAAACAAATCTCTGGAACACATGCTTTGAAGAGAATAGCTTCATTCTGAATTTCACTGCCAAGGATCTGAAATACACTGGAAGGTTCCTCTTGCCAAAGAATAAAAGACATTACAGAGATCATTACAGAAAGCTGGCTCAGAAGTTGCAAAAAGTAGTAAGAAAAGGGTTCATTTCTGTTGGCTCTTCAACCACAAAAGAAAGAAAACTAAGTATCTGAGTTGAGAAAGTATAAAGATTTAACGAAGACCCTATATTATTAAAATCCTGGTATCCTGACTAATATCATAAGATTTCTCTTTTTCTTATGTATTCCTAATTGCATTTGCCACCAACACCGTAGTTATATAGGCACCAATTTGAATAAAGTTGTATTAAAAACGGTTCCAAACCAGAGAGCGGTTTCCCATATGCTACTGCACAGCATATGTCCTGACATAGTTTATATGCCTGTCAAAGATCTTACCAGGGGATATCATTTAGGAGCAACATGCTGGTATCAAAACAATGTTTGCAGTGTTCAAGTAGGTCTTCAAGCAGGTTTTAAAAAGAACTACATTCTTTTGTAAAGCTTTCAACTATGCAAAGATTCTTGCACCAGGTAACTCTTTTGAGACTTACATCATAGCACAGATTGCATGTGTAATCATGTACTTCATGAGAACCACTGTAGTCATATATATTCTAAGACATTTGAAAGACTAAAATTTTACCTATGAACATTTTAATTTAGAAGCTTTCATTAAAAACCTCTGTCAATAGATCCAAATCATTATCTGGAACTAGATATTAAAAAAATGCTGTAGGCAGTTTCACAAAAAGTGAGAGCACAGATTGCATGTGTAATCATGTACTTCATGAGAACCACTGTAGTCATATATATTCTAAGACATTTGAAAGACTAAAATTTTACCTATGAACATTTTAATTTAGAAGCTTTCATTAAAAACCTCTGTCAATAGATCCAAATCATTATCTGGAACTAGATATTAAAAAAATGCTGTAGGCAGTTTCACAAAAAGTGAGACAATATGCCTTTTTCTTCTTCCACATGTAATCTGCATTCA